CACCTTAGGTGTATGTGGCTGGCGCCTTAGCCGCTTGAGCCACAGGCGCCGAGCCAAGACAGTTTTTTTATATAGTGACACTATACTACATCATAATTTAGAATTATCAGCCTATACTTATAAGCTGAGAGGTAACTAGCCCATACAGAGCTATGCTAAAGATACATGTGGCTTAAAACCAAGATTCAACGCTCTGATAGTTACAAAACACTCAAATCAAGATGCTTCTAAAGCATCTTGGGATGCAAAAATTCCCAGAATTAGTTTAGAATCCTCTAGCTATTATCTATCAGCCAAATAAAAATCAATAGGCAGAAAGAGAAAGAAATTAACCAGATTCATTATAGGCACAGTTGGCCTAATTGGTAGCTACTGTCTAGTGAATAACTTTGTTTACAAAGGGCCATCATTTACTAGCCATCACCACCTCCACCAATACTTATATGCTGCACAATATTGCAATGGAGTTTAGGCCATCTTTCATGTTGCCTCACTCCATATTGCTACAGAACACTGAAAAAAGGCAGGCTAGAGAAATTAATGACATCCTTCCCATTTTGCCACTGCCCTCTGCCAAGATCATTAGCAATTCTGAACTGAATAATTGCTGAAACACTGGCCTTACAACAGTCTTCCGTTAGAAGAGTTAACTACTAAAAAAAAAATCATATTTTTATGGGCTTCAGAATTAATCATGTATAATACAGTCTGTAGCTTTCATTATAAATTTACCACACTTCAGCAAATCTGAATAGAGCTTAAAGATTTCTTCTTTTGCTTGTTTGAAGGAAACATGTACCCAAGTCACTTGCAGTCTAATCTGCAACTCAGAATTGCCCATGGCAAGAAAGATTAGACCATTTTAGACATCTCTGAAAAATTGAACTCCCAAGACAAAGGAATAAAGCATGCTAATTTTCAACAAATAATTGGCAAATCTAGATGTGTAGGTAAGTGATCAAAAGCCATTTAATAGATACAGGTAAAAATTCTCAGAGCCAATCGCTGATCTAGGCATGGCGTTGTGAGAGGAAAATTTTTTTTTTTTTTTTTTT